TAATTTAATTTTTAAATAAAATATATATATTTATTTACCTTTTCTTCTTATATAGGCTTATAAATTTTATGTGCTTTAGATAAATAATTAATCATATTTGTAGTTGATAGTCTATTCTTTACTTTATGATTATATATATCTTCTGGATTTTTAACTAAAATCAATACATCTACTTAACAATAATTAAAATCATTTATAATATTAAAATAATTTCAAACAAAACTTTGTTTTGATCTTTCTTTATCAAACTTAGGTTTTTTTATAAGTCTATTAGAAGTTTCTTTAGAATTATCATCTAAAATTTTTTCAAATTTATCTATTATTTTTTTGTGAATAATAAAAAAAATTATAATGTTAATGAAAATATTTGAATTTAAAATAAATTATTATCTTTATTATGTGAATTCTTTAAAAATGCATGATAATGTAATAATGAAAAAATTTTTTGATGATCATTTTATAATTATTTGACTAATAATAAATTGTTTTATAAATTCTTAAAAAATAAATTTAAAACATTTTTTGACAATTTTTCTTAAAGAATTTTATAAAACTTAATTTATTTGAAAAGAAAGAAAATATATAATACTTTTTTATATGTCAAAACAAAATAAAAAATTATTATTCAGCATTAAAGATGGGAACTGTAATTAATATATTACAACTTTTAATTTTGCAACTTATATTGCAATTAGTTTTAACCTATATATATTGCAACTTATAATGTTGCAACTAATTTTCAATTGTTATACTATCTTTATTACACATAAAAAATCATTTCTATTTCTAAAAAAAAAATAAAAAATTAGTACTTCAAAGAAATCCTTTCCAAAAAACCCAAGAAGACTTACTTATTCCAAAAGAATGAAGAATCTGTTGTTATTCCTATGCTTAACTGTTGAACTTAGGGTAATGTTAACTTGATAATAGGGATTAATGTGTATATTTAATTATGATTACTATGAAATAAGTCCTATTACAATTAACCTTTATCTTAATTAATAAATAAGTAAACATACAGATGAAAAATAAGATTTATAGTTTAACAAAAAAGATTGCTTTATTGTAGATTTTTGTATACTTAGAATTCTTTACCCTCAGACTCTTACTATGAGTTTTTGAATTTACACTCTGAGTTATTCTTTCATATGAGCTATATTTTATCTTATTTATATAAAAATACAATTATAAGAAAAACTATAACTAACGCTAATATATAAATAATAGTTAATATAAATAATAGAGATAAAATATATAATAATTATATAAATGTAATAATAATAAATAAAATAATAAATATAAATAAATTGAAGAAGTTGACTATATTAAAAATGTTATATATGTTGACAAAGTTAATAATGCTAATTAATGTAGATCTTTGTAACATAGTAACTTTGATGAGGTCTAATATCACTGTTTTCAAAAAAAAGAAGTAAAATCAGTAAAAAGAAGAAAGAAATCCCAAAGAAATCCCAAAGAAACCCAAAGAACCCACTATTTGAAAGAGGACTTACCTAAAAAAACAAAAGATCTGTTCTTAAAAAAAGAAGTAAAATTAGTAAAGAAAAGAAAAAAATCCCAAAGAAATTCCAAAAAAAGAATTCAAGAAGACTTACCTATTTCAAAAGAATGAAGGATTTATTTTTAAAAAAATGAAATAAAAATCAGTAAAACGAAGAAATAAATCAAAGAAATCTCAAAGAAACCTAAAGAAAGAACTTAAAAGACTTACCTATCCTAAAAAAATGAAGGATCTATTTCTAAAAAAAAGAAATAAAAATCAGTAAAAAGAAGAAAGAAATCTCCAAAAAAACCTAAAGAAAGAATCTAAGAAAACTTACCTATTCCAAAAGAATGAAGAATCCATTCCTAAAAAAAAGAAGTAAATCAGTAAATAGAAGAAAGAAACCCTCAAAGAAATCCCAAAGAAATCCTAAGAAAGAACCCAAAAAGCTTTACCTATTCCAAAAGAATAAAGGATCTTTTCCTAAAAAAAAGAAGTAAAATCAGTAAAAAGAAGAAGAATCTAAAGAAATTCTAAAGAAAGAACCTAAGAAGACTTACCTATTCTAAAAGAATGAAGGATTAATTCCTAAAAAAAAAATAAATAAAAATCAGTAAAGAGAAGAAAGAACCCTCCAAAAAAATCCCAAAAAAAACTAAAAGAAAGAATTCAAGAAGATTTATCTATTCGAAGGATCCATTCCTAAAAAAAAAGAAGTAAATCAATAAAGAGAAGAAAGAATTCCTAAAGAAATCCCAAAGAAATTTCAAAAAACCCATTATTTGAAAAAAAGACTTACCTAAAAGAACAAAAGATCTATTCTTAAAAAAAGAAGTAAAAAGAAAATTAGTAAAAAGAAAAAACCCACCCTCTAAAGAAACCCTCCTATAATTTAAAAAAAAGTTTTTTAAAAATTTTAAAATTAAAATTTTAATATAAATAAACTAATCTAAAAATAAAATTTAAAAAAAAAAATACAATAAAATTAAAATTAAAAATTTTACCAAATATTTTAATAAATTTAAATTGCAATAATTGAAATCAATTTTGATATCTGAAATGATTTTTGATAATAAAAATCAACAGATATTAAAATAATTTTTGATATTCGAAATCAATTTTGATACTTAAAATGATTTTAATATTTGAAATCAGTCAATCAATTTCAAATATTTGATTTTTTTTATTTGACAAATAAATATTATTTTAAATCAAAATAAAATATATATTAATTAACAATTTTATATTGATAAGCTAATAAAACTCTTTTTAAATTTGCATAATAATTAAATTAACTTCTATTTTTTTTGGAAAATAATTTATAAAATACTGATTAGCTTTTTTTATCTCATAATTTGAGTTATTTCATTTATTTATATTTTTTTTTTTTTTTTTTATTTTTTTCTTATATAAATATAATATTGATAGAGAGTTTAGCTTATTTTATTTTATTTGTCATATTTGGATGATATTTTAAATTACATATACTATTAATTCTAATTATTAACCAAATTATTAAAATTATTATCTTATAAAATAGTTATAACTTTTCATATTTGAGATGCAAAAAATATATGTATTAGCTTTAATAGTTTTTAAAGATGAAATTCAATTAATACTCCATCTGGAATTTCATATGCTTTTCATTTAGGTGAAAATTTTGTAATAATATCATTATTTGTAAAATTCTTGATTATTCTTCATATTTATATCACTTCAATTTAATTATTTGTTTAACATTTGGATTTTTTTAAATTTTGAAGGAAAAGGGAAATGTAAATTAAAAAATATCAGAAAATAACATATAAAAATTAATTATTAATCATTATTGAGTATTTTATTTAATAAAATTAATTATTATTTCTGTTTAACATTAATTAATTATTTCTCTTATCGGCTATTATTTCCTTTGCTTTTATAATTTTAATAATAATGAAGCTTCTGTAATATGAGCTCTTTTAACATTTTAACATTTATATACTATATATTTATTTTTAAATTATGTAAGGAGAAAAAGCAATCAAATTCAGAATTAGTAAAATTCAATGAATAAAAAAAAGGCCGAAGGAATCATGTTTGGCTAAATGATATATCAATTATTTAAAACTGAAATAAGATAGGTCAAATCTATTAAATATTTATTATTATTTTTTTTTTGGAATGCCTATGTCTTATTTAGACATATAAAAGAAATTTCCATTCAGATTTCATTATATCATTGAATTTCCGTGTTTATCTCAGAATTTTCTCTGTTTTCTTAAAGAATCGAGAATTAAGAGAATATTCTTATTTTAGTATAACTCTTTAAAAATTAATGGGATTTCTAAAAATGAAATTGTTAAACTTTTGTTACCAAACTTAATATAAATCCAAATTAAGCTTGAATTAGTCTGAGCTTGTATGATATAAGTATTAAAACAATTCATCATAAAAGTAATAATAAAGAAAAAAAAAATATGACTTGTTTTGTTTATGCTTAATTTGAAAAAATAAATATAGTATTATATGTTTTTAATTAGAAAAAAAACTATTATCTTTTTAGTTTTTAACAATTGAACTTAGATTTTTAGATTTTACTTTTAAAAATATGATTATACATAATTTTCTTTTTATACCACTCTTTTATTTTTAAAAAATGATTTTTTATATCTTTTAATTTAGTTTAAACATTTTAACTAATTTGTTTGCAATACAATTTGTAAAGAAAATTAAATGTCACTTGCGAAAAGGAAAAATATGCAATAGAGTAAGTATCATGTATAACCCTTCCTATATTGCCCAAAGTCGAACTTCTAATCATTCTATAAAGTTAACATTGAAAATTCTCTTTAAAAAGTTACATTTTACACATTGCGAATTTTCTTTATTGTGTAAATATTTAAAATAATATAATATAAATAATAAAATCCATCTGACTTGGAAAGAAAAATATTTATTTATCATAAGAAAAAAAAATAATGCAAAAAAGAATGAAGTTGCATTTAAAATAATAAAATAAAACAATTTGAAGAATAAAAACGTTTAGAATAAGAAGATAATGTAATATAATATAAATTTGGTTATAAAATCTATTTTTCTAGTTAAAAATAAGTCTGTTTGACATGATTAAATTTCAGATAAAAATATTATAAATTATTATATCGCTTAGTAATTTATATTCTGTAATTAAAAAACAATTATCGTACGTAATATATTTTAAGATACATATTTTCAAACGTGATACTGAATTTTTATGACGTCTGAACACTATAATATTTTTAATTAGATTGATAACTTTCAAAATTTGTATTCAACCGATATATTTTCGAAAATATTAAATTTATTAAATTTAATCACGATCTCAAACAGTGAATAAAGAATACAAACACATTTTATCTAATTCAACTCCGACTAATTAAAGTAGCAACTTTTATTACGCCGGTAAGCACAGATTTGATACTTCTAATTCTTTCCCATTTGTTAATATTAGATTCTTTAATTTTCTTTTTTAAAGATTTTATCTCTTCTTCATATTCACTTTAATTATAGCTAAAGTTGACTCATGTTCAACTTTAATTTGATCTAATATACCGTTATTTGCAATATTTTGTTGTCTAATATTATCTTCCATTTCATTAAATTTATTGCAATATTCTTGTGAGACTTGTTCACATTCTCTTTTTAAGTTATCGAATTTAATTTCCATTTCTTTTTTCCGAGCAGTAAATTCTAAAATTTGCTGTTTAGCTTTTTGAGTTTTTTTAAGTTGTGATGTCAATTTATTGTTTAAAACGTTCCACAAATTTAATTGGTTGATTGCTACTTGATATTCATTTTTAAACTCTGCCTTTATCATGTCTGTTTCTTGACAATCGGCCATTAAAGTATTAGACATCTCTCTCTCAAAAATTTCGATCGCATCATTAAATTCTTCTTTGGTCTATCAAGTTATTTAAAGAATATTAGGTTCAACTTTTTTAAGAAAGGAACAAATAATAATTTATATTTACCTTAAAAAAGTTATCGGCGGCGAGACCAACTTTAACATGACAATCCCATAATTTTTTAGCCAATTCCATATTATACTCATATAAAGTCACAGAATTTGATTTACGAAATTCTTCAAACTTTTCATTAATAAATTTATTATATTCGATTTCATTTTTCCTTATATGATCTGCATTTCCGATGATTCTTTTAAAAAATTCTTTTCTAACTTGTTCAAACACTTCCATATGAATATCATTAAACTCTTTCCAATTAATTACTTTAATTTGTTGTCTTTTCGGATCATTCAACAAATCTTGAATCTTTAATTTCATAGTCGTCGTATATTTTTGAATACAATAATCAATGGTTTGTTGTGTGATATATTTAATAACGGACTCATATTCGTTCAGGATTGACATTTGAACGTTGGAATCTGATGTATCGTTAAACTTTTCGACACAATTTTGAAGAAATTTTACAAATGATAACCCTGTCATTTTAGATGATTCAATGTACTTTGGAGTTGAAGAGGATAAAATGCTTTCAACTGCCATAATTACTTCAGAGACGAATTCTGGTTCTAAATCTTCTGTTGACGCTTTATCCATATTTTGTAAGATTGCGCGTTTTGAGGTCGGCATCTATTTTGTCAAGAATAATATGTTTAAATAATTTACAAGAGAAAATTTTTTAGATTAATGTAATACGTTACCGGAATACCAAACACATCAAAATCAGAGAAATATTTTTTTATTCCCTCTGCGGCTAGTTATAAAAGTAAATTAATTTAATTTCGGATTTCTCACTTATGATTGGCGTACATACCTCCTTCATCAACATCTTTTAATTTATTTATAAAATAATCGTTAAAATTACCAGGATTTACTAACATGAAATCTCTTAACAATACAACCAATCTGGGTAAAAATTTACTTTCAGGTTGTATAATATATTTGGTTAAGTCAGTCATTAAAAATAATTTTCCTATATGATTTCTACTAATAACACCATTCAAATTATAAATGAACGTTGAAGAAATTGACAAACATAGGATAAATAATTTCGTGGCCCATTGTTGACTTTGCTTTGGATCATCAATTCCTTCACAGTCCAATACAATTGTAATATTTCCTTTATGATCAAATGGTTTATTCCACATATAAATTCCTCGCGTACATCCCTCGGTTTTTGACCCTAACTCAAATCCGTCACATCTACCGTGTAATACGTTCGCGAACCATGATTTCCCTTTACGATACGATCCAACTAGCAAAGATCACGTGATTTATCACGATTAATATCTCTTTTTGGCGCGATTTAAGACTTACTTACTTACCAACAGCAATGATAGAAACTGGTTCATCAATTTTTCTAATTATATCTAAAGCCTCTTCATTTAATATAATTTCTCCACGTTTATCAGAATTCTCCACGTATTTTAGAAGTTGAATTGGTTTACCTTCTCGAAATGGAATTCTTTCCCCAAATATATATTACCCATATTGTATATCAATAAAGTATAGAAAGTTGTAAATTGATGCGAATATAAGGATAGAGAGCAAATTTCAAAATAAAAAAGAGAGTTAGAACGAAAAAATTAGAGTTAGAAAGAAGAATAGGTGAATTACATGATGAAAATGAACGATTAAAATATTATCATAATATTTATAGCTTTCACAAACTAAAACAATTTTTCCATATAAATAATAATTCATGCAGACGAATGTAACTTTGTTCTAATTCTTTCTGCTTTCAAAAATACAAATTCGTAAAATGGCGTACATCTAGTTGCATGGGGTGATAACACTTCTTATCAGCTTTTTATCAATGACAGGAGTAATAAAATGTTTTGCATTTGAATAACTTTATATTTGATGTAAATCATTTTTTATATAAAAAAAAAAAAAAAATTAGATGCTTTTTGAAAATAATTTTTTGAAGCAATTAAGGGTTTGGCATCATCTGAAACAAATTTCGATTGTGTTCAGGAGGTGCAGTGATACAATAACTTAATAAGAAGTTCGTAATATCCTGTATAAATCTTTTTAATGGAATTACAAATTGGGAGATGGAGTGATCCCAAAAGATGTAATTTTATAGGGTCAAAATTTTTAAAATTTAATGGTCATTTCTGGCCCGGTTATAGCAAAGTTCATATTATTTAAGCAAAAATGGCTAAGTTTTTATATGTTTTGAATGAACCGAGTAATACGATGAATTTTGCTGCTGTAATGGTAAACCGATTAATTATTTGTTGATTATTTTCAAAGTTTAATTAGCAGGAAATGACCAATCAGTTTTAGAACGAAAATATTTGACCATCTATTCGCAAGGAATAGAAATACTATTTGGTAATGCGGGTAATAAAAACTCTACGCGCCTTGAATCAAATTTAGTTATTGCCAAACAAATAATGAATATATACAGTGGCGCTCAAAAGTATTGCATCACCTGAACACAAATTTTAAAATGGTAATATCTTGTGATTAAAAATGC